TTCACAAAGCAGGCTTTACAAATTCAGAATCACATCTGCAACTCTGATTGATTGATAGATTGATCTGGCCTAAAGTCGGGAATTTTTATTGTTCAGTTTCACAACTGCTGCTATCAGTTCATTAGCTCCACTCAGAGTTTACCGCCTGCGCAGCAGGTATGAAAAGCCATTATCACTGGAGCACCAATGCGACGAATCACTATGACAACAGGCAACAGGAAGGGCCTAATTGACCCCACTGGAACTAGAGGTTTCAATGCAGAAATGCAAAAAATGAAATAATAAAGGAGAAGTTTTTTTTATGACGTTGACCAAAGTGGAAAGCAGACATTTCTCAGGAATGACACTTTAATATCTTTCAATTTGGCTTTGATGGGACAGTTTTATGCTGGTTTTTAATTTTATAATTCAACCCCATGAGTTTTGCATAACATTTGGTTATTGTAATATTTTCAGGGTACTAATCTTTAAAGTTTACATTTATTCTTTAGAATGTTGCCTTTCAAAGCTGTTTTCTTAACAGTGATATTTGAGTTTCGCTTTTAATCTTACAGCTTTATGTTGCTTTGATTTTGCACCCATCGCATTTGCAAGCAATTTTATGTTTTCGGCTATTTCAATATCATCCCTCAAACTTATCCTTATTCTTTAGGTTATTACCTTTGAAAAGTTCTTTGTGTGAACATTTTAAATAACAAATAATCACTAACTGTTAAATAACTCTGGTGTTGTTTTGGGGGAAGAGTGCAACCTTAGCGGGAGGAGGCGATAAGAGCAACTCTCGCCTTGGACACAAAAAAAACATACAATGTATCTATGAAAATGACCCAACATAAAAGAATTACAGCATAGGTCCCTGTAGGATAGTGTAATGGCTCAGGTAGGGCCATAGAAATGAGTGGGAAATAATAAAAGTGAATGGAAAGGCTCCAGAAGGATTCTCTGACACAACTGTGTGTGTTTATTTGTTTATGTTATCTATTAAGGACCGTTTTTGGTATATTTACCAGCCTTCTGAGGACCAAGAGAGCTTATAGGGACCAAAAGATGGTCCACAGGAAAAAGGACCTCCAATTTTACAGCAGCCTCTAGAGCCAAAAGTGGCAAATTGTATATGTCCGTTTCAAACTGGTTAATGCCAGCTGGAAAAACATAAGGTTACCTTGTCAAA